AGATAACAATCTGCCAAGAGATGAGTTGCCACCTCTTGAGAGTATACTAGATGTAACGAAGAGCCTCATCTTATTGCTCAAACTTGAAGATAAAGCTCCTTAAGACGTGCCTCACCTTCATCTAGCTTATCTCTATTGAATGACAACTGTTAGAGATTCGAAAGTTATCATTTTTTTATTTCATAGACTTCATCAATTTCTAGACTTTGATAGGAGATCTAGAGATTGACCATGTTGTTTATATTCAATGAGAGTCCTTGAAGCCATAAACATCGCATGATAATCTTGCTAAACACAGAATTTTAGTGACCACCACTACGAAGTTGAAACTATGACTTTCTTACTTTAAACTTAGTTTTTACTTACTTTAGTAATCTTTTGTGTAATTTTAAGTTTCAGAATTTTTCTTTATTTAATTATGATTATTGTGACTTTTGTAAATCTTAATTTCATCAATTAAATCATATGTAATTACTTGTGTAAGAATCACTTGTTCTACTTGAATCATATTTGTTGAGGCACTAGTGTCATCCTAACATCCATACTTGAATTTATTTTTGTGAATTTTTAATTATATTTTATATTTATCATTTAGTCTAAAAATCATTTAAAACTATTTCTTTGAGGAAACTTCTGAAATATTACCAATTATTATCTTACTTAAAAATCTAAAAATTAATATTTTATAATTTTATAAATTTTAAGTTTACCTAATTTATTATAAAATGATTAAGTCACATCAATTAACCATAAGGGAGTGCTGACTTATTTGGTAGGATTTGAGTCATTGTTGTGACATCAAGGAAGAAAATGTGGTATGTGGCTAGTGTCTCTAAGGATTACAGTAGGGGGTATTGGCTCTTTTTCCCTTAGTGTAAATCTTCTAGAGAGTTGGCTAATCTTTTCTCACATTCTTGAAAACTCGTTAGGAGACAACAAAGACCCTTCAACTTCTACATAGGTGGTGGCAGAGTTCTTTATCACACATGACATTATCCTACTACTTTATATCTTATTTGATGGTGTTGCCTAAGGTGGCAAGTCTCTAGAAGAGTGTGGTGGTCTCTAGGTGAAGTCTACTAAGGTTAGATTCAAAAGTGTCCATGTGTATTAGTTCATTTAGACCGTATTTTCTCTCATATTAATTTGATAACTACCTACTTGACTTGGATATGAAGATGAGAATGATAACTCAATAACTAGGTCATATGCCTTGTGGAAGAGTCATACAATAGTTCAATACTCATGTTGGGTTCTCCAAACAGAGGGATGATAATCCACCTAGGAGTGACATCATGATGATATTAGGGCACTAAAGACGAGGGGGGAGCTTAGCTCCACCATCGAATCTAGATGGAAGAGGGAGTTGAGGATGTCACATTATTGTAAGCCCACTATAGACAATATTGTAGACAATGATAGCTCACAAAAGGATAAATGATAGTTTGTCGAAATACCCCAAAGGGAATATGGGGCAATATGAGAGAGAGAGAGAGAGAGAGAGAGAGAGAGAGAGAGAGAGAGAGAGAGAGATGAGATAAGGGAAATAATATAAACAAAGCACAAGGCCATGAGGATAATTGACCACGTTCAAGACAATCAGTTTCCTAACACTTCTTTTTTTGCTGCTTGCTCCAGTGTTTCATCTTTCTTGTAATCAGCTCATGCTGGCAGTTGAGTTGACCAACTACTTTGATTTTTGCTCTTTAATTTGTCTTCTAGATTCATGCTTAGTTTACTGAGCAATTGGTTGGTCTTCTTGTTGAAGTTTTCACTTCATCTTCTTTGACTTGTTGTCTTTTGGAATGACATTCTAAGTGGTGGTCAACAAAGAGGTGAGTATCTTATCAATTACCCAGCAAACAAGCTTGTAGCTGTTCGACCATGAGACATCTTAAACCATATCAAAGTTTGGAACTACAGTGACATGGCCTAAGTTTCTCATCATACCTCATCAAATCACCTATATGGCACTACCATGTGCATTGAATTTAGGTACATATCATATTATTGAAACCAATTTTAGATGGTGGCTTCCAACCTGATGGCACACATGACTGCCACATCTTTAAGAAAATGTGGGGAAGTAAGTTGACAAGGAACTGGCCATCTCATTGCACACTTTCTGTAATGGCGACATACTTTTTGTCAATGACCTTTTTGGTCAAGTGACTTCTTGAACTTCAAAAAATACTTCAGGATATTACTTTTGTTTTTTCCCATCCATTTCTCAAACTTTTTCTAATTTCACTACTTACACAAGTCAAAAGTATAATCATCACAAAGATTGCCAAATCAAATTTTCATCTTCTTAATGGGCCAACTTGAGTTTCTACACATGCTTAATATCCAGCCCATTGATTCCCCTACTAGTTGTTTCTTAGTAGCTTCTTCACACTTAGGATTTGCCACATGAGAATAGTGTGCAAAGATAAAAAAGGTAAAGATACCTTGAGTCATGATTTATATTATATTTATTGTTAGTTAACATTATAACATCAATCTCATTTGAAACAGCCCATAAACCACTTGATTATGTGTTTTTATGTTGATGCAAGTTAATTATATTCAACACTATTGTTGAATTAAATTACATCCATCAATATATGATAGGAACATTTTTTTTTGTAAAATCACTCCTTTCTCTATCTATGATTTTGTGTTAATGTTCCCTTGAAGCATGAGGGGGTCAATTGTCTTCTTCAACAATCTCTTCATGAAAAATTGTGGGGAAGAGTTACCTAGTCTATTGATATCATAAAGTAGTGAATTTATAATATCTATAAGTTTTCAATGTCTCTACGTATTGCGAGCATGAATACACCAAAAAATCTCAATTCAGTCATAGACCATACTATTTACTAGGAGGTATGATAATATTGAGTGCTACTGTGTGATGGACTTGGGCTCAAACCTCATGTATTGCATTTTCCTAAGGATTTGAGCATAGTTATTGTTTTTAATGCTAATGATTTTTATGCCTGAATTAAGAAAGTTTGGTGGACTTGGCTAACCCATTGGGCCCATTCAAGGAATTAAATAATCTTTTGATCATATAATACTTTCCAACTTCTGATATAATTGATAATTCATTATTGAAGTGGTGTTAAATTTATGAAGAAATTTTGTTCAATTTTTTTCCCTATGTTATATCATCTCTCAATGTTTATTCTAAAATTAGCCAAAAATTAGAATGGTCAAAGACTAATATGAGATGATATTTCAAAGTTTAGATATCTGACATGAGAAATCAATATGTGCTTTTGTTAAACACTAATGTATATATACTTGAACAAGTTTGCAAAGGATCTATTATTGTCGAAACATAATCAATAATATATCTCAAAATAAAATAATGATTTGACAATTAAAACTTATCCAAATTACTACAAACAAATAACCATTATCAAATAAATATATTAAATATGACCTCAAGGTATAAAATCATAAATTTGGCAATATAAATATTAAATCTTATTTTAAAATAGTATTCATAAATATTGAAAAAATATTAAATAATAGTATGAGAGGTTCAAATTGAATCAACCAATTTGATATCCATTTTTTTTTATGGTAATAATTTATTAACATGTTTACTTAGTATACATAGTGAGCTTTCATACTCATATTTTGCTTCAATAAGCCTCATTAATCTTGCAGGACTTAAAATTACACTTCCACATTCATAATTTGTGTCAATATTTTTAATATACAAGGAAATAATTTCAAGTGATAAATCTACCAAATTTTCTAATTCCTCATAATGAGATTATCATGCATCCCTTAATTTCTTTTCATTACTACTTTAACTTCTTCCTTAATATTTTTTCAATTTGATTGATCCTCATACATCAAAGAATATTTCTTTATATATCATGCATAATTATCTGTAAATATAATTAATATTTTAAATGATTTTATGTCTGTTTCTCATTATCAACATAATTTGTGTTAAGCCTTTAAAAAATAATACATATTAGATATTTAAAATACTTAAAAAATAAAATATAATTTAGTTGTCTTAAAAAATCATAAAAATAATTTTTTAGATAAAAAATTAAAAGTAAAATTCACTCATATTAATATTGCAAGAGGAAAGAAAATGGTATTTAACATGTAAATGTTGTATAAAAAATTCCAAAAGAAGCAATTTTAAAAATTGTACCCTCAAAATGGATTCAAATCTATTAAACACTCTTTAGATAACTTTTTCGTGAAAATCATATTTTATTTGATAGGTCCACTAAAATAATTCATACAAAAGTTGAGGCAAAAATTTTAATTGTATTTTTAGACATTAATAACATAGAAATATTAAAAAAATAAAAATAGTCTCTTGAATAAATAAATTCATTTATATTAAATACCTCAAATAATATGATAAAAAAGTAAGGTAAGGTAGTACTAATTGTTAAAAGAATCATTGATTATGTAAAGCAAAATTATTGTAGGAATTTCAAATCTAGTTTCGCTCTATCATCATTTCTTGAATTCTACGTACATTAAAAAAAAAAATAATGTCTGTTAAGAGGTTAGAAGTCTTATCTGAACGTCACTAGATGGTATAGTTCTCTCCCAGACAGAATGAGGCAGAAAGAAAGGGAGAGAACCTAATTAGAGGGTCCACGCACTTGAAGGAACGGATGAGAGGGAGGGGGAAGGAGGGAGACAGGAAAGGATGCAGACGCACACGCACACGCAGCCGGACGGCAGAGGGAGAAAGAGAGGGAGAGAGAGGGGGGGGGGGGGGAATCCCCGGACCCTCGGCGAGGGAAGATATGGAGCGGACTGGGAGAAGGGTAAAGATGCAGGCCAATTTAGAGTTATGTCAAGTTATGCTCTTTTAAATTATGTAGAAGTTAGTTATAGTTACCTGTGTGCAACCAACGGCGGGAAATTGTAATAGTGTGCAACCCATCGCCTGTCCTCTACGAGTAATTTTAGAAGACAGAATGGACATGGCGGAGATAGCGCTTCGCGATGATGGCAAGGCCACGTCACTAGGATGCAAGGGTCGCCTTGAGTCGGAGGGGCGATTCCAAATGGAGGACGATCCCAACAGTCTCCGTCGTGTCGATATCCTTGGGTTTCATGCCGTCGGCCAGCTCCCAGTCGAAGCAGTACAGGAGGTTCGCCAGGGCTAGCTGCACCGAAGTAACCGCCAGGTTCATCCCAGGGCAAATTCTGCGGCCTGATGAAAACGGTATGTAATGGAAGTCCTGGCCCTTGTACTGGATATCGCTCTCCTCGAAGCGCTCCGGCCAGAAGACTTCTGGGTCCTTCCACAATCCTGGGTCCCTCATAATAGCCCAGAGGTTGGTCAACACCGCCGTCTTCGCCGGAATATCGTATCCGCAAATATTGACGTCCTTCAAGCTCATGTGGGGAACAGATAACGGAAGAGGAGGGTGTAGGCGGAGAATCTCCTTCACCACTAGGTTGAGGTATGGAAGATTTGCGATGTCGCTATCCTCCGCCATCGGTTTCGTCCCCACTACCCTCCGCACCTCCTCCTGCGCCTTCTTCATCACCCGGGGGTTCAGGATAAGCTCTAGCATCCCGAACTCCGTGGTCGAAGCCGATGTGTCCGATCCGCCGAGGAAGGTTTCCTGAAAGAGGAAGAGAAGAAAAATCTGGTGAAATCAACTGTTGATAAGCGTAACTGTTCAGGAATCGGGTTTCCTTCTTGAAACTGGCAGGGTACCACGAGGATGCTCTTGATTTGTTCCCGGGTTAGATTAAATCCAAGCGAGGTATCTTTCTGGAGGCGAAGGAGAACGCTCATGAAATCTTTCTCGTCGTCGTTATCGCGCCTGAGGTGGGCTTCGATCTGCTCCTCGAAGAGGTTGTCGAAGAAATGAAAAGCCTTTTGGAGACGGGCGTGTAAACCGGTGACGATGTTGAGCCATCCCATTGAAGGGAAGAGATCGGAGGGGGAGAAGCCGGCGAGGAGTTCGATGGATTCGACGATTTGGTCGTGGAACTTGCTCTTCCGGCATTCGTCGTCGTTGGAGCTGCGTCTGCCGAAGGCCTGGCGGCAGGTGATGTTGCAGAAGAGGCAGAGGACCATCTCGCTGATGTTGATCAGCTGACCAGCGGTAGCGGTTTCCGCGATTTCTTTGACGAGAACGCGCACCTCCTCCTCTCGGATGGGGCGCAAGGACTGGACCCGCTTGGCAGTGAACAGCTCCAGCGTGCTGATCTTGCGGAGCTGGCGCCATCCCTCACCGTAGGGAGCAAACGACACGCCTTGGCCGCCGTAGGAGAAACGGGTAACGACCGCGCGGTTGGGCCGGGTGCAGAAGATCGCGTCGTGGGTCTTCAGGATCTCCTTAGCCATCTCGGCGCTGGAGACGACGAGGGTGGGAACGCGGCCGAGCTCAAGGCACATGAGAGGGCCGTACGTGTTGGCGAGACGGTGGAGGGAGTGGTGGGGGAGCTTGCCGAGCTGATGGAGGTTGCCGATTAGAGGGAGACGGGTTGGCGCAGGAAGGTCGAGCTTCCGGCTTCGTCGGACACAGAAGAGGAGAAGGAGAGGTATGGCAAGTAGGCAACAGAGAACAGTTTGGAGGATCATAGCTGCAGTCAGCATCTACAAATTTTTGCCCAAACGTGGTGAAGGCATGTTTCTTTATAGACGGATGCAATTGATTCCCTGAGTACTCTTTTAGGGGACCACATTAGATCCTTTCATTGCGTCCCGAAGGCATCGAGCGGACACCATTGGTACGCATTTAATCTGAACCCTCCAATAGTCTTACATGCCGGAGAGGGCCATTATCTATGCCAAGGACCGCTTTTGTCGCCACGCCACTATCCTGCAAGATATTTACATGGTGCAACCAATATAATCATAAATATTTACATTGACGGCAAGAAGGCAGAAGAGCACAGATTGGAGGATCATGCCTGGAGCTATCATCTACCGTTTTCGCCAAAACGCGGAAAAGGCAGGACCTTTTTTAAAAAAGAACTTTGGGTTGGTGTGTTCTTTTCGTATAAAAAAATACCTTAGATTCCGTCCATTACCCAGTTAGTATTTAACTGATGGCATCAAATTGTATCCTTCGCGTCCGGATGGCATCGGATGGACAACACCGTTCGTATTTAATGTATACAAGAACAGCATCTGTCACGACACTACATCTGCACCACCTCCTGGTTCTTCCAAGTCGAAACCCAAGTGTAAGATAATAAGGAAGCCATTTAACTTAATGCGAGATAAAAAACTCTTAAGATAATGCTTCCGTCTTAGTAATACGGCTTTTTCACATTTCACCTCTCGAAAATATCACGCTCTTGATGGAATGTTTTGGCCGTGCCACGTCATAGTCGGTGTTTGACGTTGTTTAGGCGCCACGTCAACAAGTCATATGATCGGGTGACGACACGGGTCCTTGTTTCCCTGGGCCCGTCACCTCTCTCGCGTGGTTTGCCACCGTCGAAATCGTTAAACGCGACAGGGAATACAGCCACACAGGTCGCCCAGTTTTGGGGATGTGGGAAATTGCATTGGACTGCGCCAAACAATTCACATCAACCAGTCGGCGGAGCCGTGGGGCGAATCTTTCTTTCCGCTAGAAGTGAAAGGCTGTGGCCGCTCTCTCGTGGAAGCCATCAAGACCATTATCTCTTGCTTCTCCCAAGCCGTAGCCCCAGTCTCCCCGATTCGCGTCCAGACAAACGCCGGAGTTAAGGCATTTGGGATGCATGCTCTGCCTCCGTAGCATCGTCGGCCGGAAGGATGCATCTTCGGCACGGACAAAATCGCGTCGTCAGGAGTCTGAGAAAACAGAAATGACGACATCTAACTGGATTCCGACAGAAATATGTATGATTCTACTGGTTCCACCATGTGAATTTCATGTGCCGAACAATGGCGTGGTAGAACTGTCAGTGCAAATAAAGCTACCCTCAGCGGCTTGATTGATGCTTGGAGGGTTCAGATTAAATCCGGACAAGTGCTGTCCGTTCGACGCCGTCGGGACGCAATGATACACTCTGAAATGGTCCTCTAACAGTCTATTAACTAGAATTGAGTGTATCCATAGATGGTCCGTTTAAAAGAGAAAACCTGCCTTCTTCACGTTTGGGCAAGATTTTGTAGAGAATGGCTGCAAGTATGATCCTCCATGCTGCGCTCTTCTGCCTACTTGCAGTACCTCTCCGTCTCATCTGCTGTGTCCAACGGAGCCGGAAGCATAACCTGCCTCCCGCGCCACCCAGTCTCCCTCTAATCGGCAACATCCATCAGTTCGGCAAGCTCCCCCACCGCTCCCTCCATTCGCTTGCCAAGAAGCACGGTCCTCTCATGTACCTTAAGCTCGGTCGCCCTCCTACCCTAGTTGTCTCCAGCGCCGAGATGGCTAAGGGGATCCTAAAAACACCCGACAGGAACTTCTGCACCCCGCCCAAACGCGCGGTCGTCACCCGTTTCTCCTACGGGGGCCAAGGCGTGGCTTTTGGCCCATACGGCGAGGGGTGGCGCCAGTTCCCCAAGATCAGCACGCTGGAGCTGTTCACTGTCAAGCGAGTTCGGTCCTTGCGCCCCATCAGAGAGGAGGTGCGCGTTCTCGTCAAAGGAATCGCGGAAACCGCCAGCGCAGGTTAACTGATCAACATCAGCGAGATGGTTCTCTGTCTCTTCAGCAACATCACCTGCCGCCAGGCCTTCGGCATGCGCAGCTCCTGAAAAGAAACGGGGAGGAAAGATTGCACACAATGGAATTGAAATCGAGTAAAAATCTGCACAACGCCTGCAGATTAGTGAGTTCCTTTTTATACTCGCCCAATCGAAACTTTACCAAACGGAAGGCTCCAATTCGTCTCATCACCATCGCCACGCTGGCTTTCATCTCAGCCGTTATAACATGCAAGATGGACGGCCAAGTTTAAAACGCGAACAGAGTCAAAAAGTGAATCAGGGGAAATCGCAGTAAGATTGATCCAACATTCTCCCCCTCAATCTTGCAACAGATTGTTGATGTCGACAACTCCAATAATGTTTCTGAACTCGGAAAACTTCACTCTTCCCAGAGACTTTGTCAAAATATCCGCTCACTGATGAGTCGTCGATGTATATTCTAGCGTCACTTGTCCTTCCTCTATACAGGTTCTGATATAGTGATAACGCACCTTGATGTGCTTTGACCGGCTGTGAAACGCTAGATTCTTGGCTAACTCTATAGCCGATTTGTTTTCAACACAAATTTTAACTGGCTTGAGTTCATCTCCAATCAGCTCATTGATCATATCACTCAGCCAGACTCTCTGGCACGCAGCTTGTGTAAGGGTCACATACTCTGCCTCACACGATGATAATGCAACTATACGTTGCTTCTGTGATGACCGTGTCACAACATTGCCACCCAAAAAGAAGAGAACACTAGAAGTGCTCTTTCCGTCCATAAGGTCTCCGGCATAATCGCTGTCACTATACCCTTCAAGACAAAAAAAAATCCCTTTCTTATAAGTCAAACCGAAATCAATTGTGCCTCTAAGATACCTTAGTAATCTTTTAGCATATTTTAGGTGCTCAGTATTCAGATTCTCCTTGAATCGACTCAAGAATCCCACACTGAATAAAATATTCGGCCTTGAGTGTGTGAGATATCTTAAAGACCCCATTAATTTCCGAAAATAAGTGGGATCCACTAAGCTGCTCTCAGTGTTCAAATCAAACTTGATTCCCACCTCGAGAGTGGGGTCGTGGAGGGATTACAATCAAGCATGTTGAATTCCTTGAGAATCTTCAAGGCAAATGCTCCCTGTGACAATCTAATACAGTCTTCACTCTGTTTTACCTGAAATCTTGAGTAAGAGCTGAGAAGGCCAAGATTTGACATTTTGAACGTTTTCATTATCTTCTGTTTGAGAATGTCAATCTTCTCACAAGGTCTTCCAGTCACTAGCAAATCGTCAACATAAATGCCCACTAGAATGTGCTGAGATTCTGTGTTCTTGATATAGACCGCAAGCTCATACTTGCTCCTCTTGAATCCCAATCCCGTGAGACACAAATCCAACTTTGCATACCACGCTCTAGGAGCTTGTCTCAGCCCAGAAAGTGCCTTTTCGAGTCTATCAACATAAACTCCTTGCCGGGCTTCACAAATCCCTTTGGTTGATGTACAAATATATTTTCTTTAAGTTCACCATTTAAGAAGGCTGATTTCACATCCAAGTGATAGAGCTTCCACTTGAATTGTGCAGAAATTACTACAAGAATCCTGATGGTTTCAATGCGTGCCACTGGGGCAAAGACTTCAATGTAGTCAATCCCCTGTCTTTGAGCATATCATTTTACTACTAACCGGGCTTTATACTTCTGAATTTTCAGATCTTGATCCCTTTTGAGCTTAAACACCCACTTAAGCCCAATAGGCTTGCCATTATCCGGAGGTGACACTAATTCCCATGTACTGTTCTTCTCTATAGCACTTAACTCTTCCTCCATAGCACTTCTCCACGTGATCACAGAAAGCTTCAGTGACAGTAGCTGGTTCTTCATCAACAAAGTTGTAAAATTCTTCATCATCTTGATCTACTTGTTGTGTCTCGGCATAGAAATCACTGATATTTTTGAATCTCCTCGGCTGAGAATCAATTGAGTCAGATGATTCACTGATAGGTTCAGACAAGACAGGTTCTGCCTGTGCGTTGGAGAAAGATGAGACAGGCTCTTTCTCCAAGTTGACTGAGTCAACACTAGGATTAAAGAAGAAATCAATTTGCTTCATGTATGTCCGCACTTCAATATCAGACTTGTCCTAATTCCAACTTTTGTCTTCATCAAAAGTTGCATCTCTAGAAAGCTCTATCTTTCCATCTGCTGGATTCTAAGCCTGATATCCTTTTGAGCCTCTCTCATACCAAATAAAGACCATAGGCTTACTCTGATCTTCTAACTTCTTAAGCCCTCCACCAAGTGTCTTCACATAAACCACACATCCGAAGACTTTAAGATGTGATATGTGAGGTTTTCTTCCTATCCACGCTTCATAGGGAGTCATCCCCTCCAAGCACCTAGTGGGAGCTCGATTGAGTAGGTATACTGCTGTGTTTACTAGCTCGATAGAGGCATTGACTTGTGCTTTAAAATGGCTCTCACCATCTCCACAATTGTACCATTTCTCCTTTCAACAACTCCATTTTACTAAGGAGAATAGGGAGTGGTCAGCTGCCTCCTAATACTATTTCCTTCACAGAAAACTCAAAATTCAGTAGAATTGCATTCCCCCCTATCAGTCCTCAGACAACCAATTTTCAACAATTTTTCAGCCTCAGCTATTACCTTAAATTCTTTGAATGCTTCAAGTGCATCTGACTTCAGCTTCAACATCTTCACCTACATTAATTTGAAGAAATCATCAAAAAATAAAATAAAATACTTACTTCTATGGAGAGTTGTTAATTTTATTGGCCTACTGATGTGACTTAGTCGTTGTATAGTAAATCGTGCAAATTTAAAGTTTATAAATTAAAAAATATTAATTTTCAGATATTTAGAAGTATTTTTAAATAAATATATTAATATAATTTAATAACAGTTTCAAAAATATTAAAAATTTCTAAGTCGATCACAAGGATGTAATATAATATTGAGTAATTTTTCAAATTTTTTCTCAAAGAATACGATTTGTTATAAATTTTAGATAAGAAATACAAATGAAATATATTTAAAATTCACAAAAAAGGAAAATAAGGGTGCGTACATTAGGATGATGTCAGTGCCTGATGAATGTGAATCAATTGGAAATAAAATTTCATCCAACAATTCTTATGTAAGTGATTAAAAATGATTTAATTGATCAAATTAAGATTTGTAAAAGTCAAAAGAATTATAATGTAATAAAGAATAGTTTGGTAAATTTAAATTACACAAATTATCACTAAATGAAGTGAAATTGAATTAAAAGTAGGAAAATGCATCAACAATATACCAAAATCCTGAGCATTTGGAGGATTGTCGTGTAGTGTCCATGGCCTCAGAGGTTCTCCTTGGACAACAATAAGGTGGGTAATGATGGCGAGTGGGACCCATCTCCATCAGCTCAAGAGACACCGGCAGTCCGAGTTCAGCCCGATTGACGCGCGAAGACAAAGGAGCCTGGCTTTCGATACACGGCCTAGCCCTTCGGGAGGACAACATTCCACCTCCACGACGGCAACGAACTCAAGCTCACCCTTATCTTTCTTTGTATTTTCACGTTGACTTGTTGGGCTTCGCGTTTGTGCGTTAGCAGGCCCAATTCTATGTGTGTGTTGTTATTTGTGTCTCCCTTTCTTTAGGGTTTTATTAGGTCTCTCTTTTGAGGCTCAATTAAAACCCTAAGGGGAGGGACCTATGTTTCTTTCCTTTTGGGCCTCTTTTGGGGCTTATTTGGGTCTTCATTTGAGGCCCACTTAAGCACCGTACGAGGGCCCTCCTCTTTCTCCTTTTAGGGGAGCTTATTGGGTCTCTCTTTTAGAGGCCCAATAAACCCCTTTTGTAACATTTTGTGGCTTATGGGCTTGAGGGACTCAAGTGGGCCCACCTCTCCTTAGCCCACTTGTGGGCCCTATATAAGGGGAGGTAGGACCCCCCCTCAACAGGAAGCGCCAAATTTTGTGAGAGATTATCGTTTGTGAGTTACCTTCTTCGTGACCTAGGATAGGGAGGGAAGGAGGGAGAGGAAGGCCGTCGATACCCTTTGAGGACTTCGTTCATCGTGACGTTGCTGCCTGAGAAGTCCCTCATTGCCGCCCGTGAGGTCATCGCTGTCACCGGACGAAACGGTCGCGGTTGCCACTGCAACCACCGCCGCCTCTACTAGAACCCCGTCACACCGTTGTGACGAAAGGGGCTTGCTTTGCCTCCCTACGAGCCGTCGCCGAGCACTCTGCCGGAGTCTCTTGACTCCTAGTTTGACTGCCCCCTCTTCCTTCAGAACTCCATAAACTCGCTGAAGCTGCCATCCACTGCTCCACCCAATCACTGGCCATTCGCCGACGAACGCCTACCTACCGTCGCGTCGCTGCCGTCGCGCCGTTTCTAGTGCCGCCTAGACCAGGAGGGCTCAACCCTCCCTAGTATCGTCAACTGGGATTGTCTCCTTCCTCTGCTCCGCTTCCCAGCGCCGCCAGAGAAGGCTGATCCTTCTAGCAACGGTTGGGCTTCAGCCTAACCGTCAATGCTCAGGATTCCCGCAGAAGCGCCACCACCGCGTGCCCACTCGGCACCGCCGCCTGCGTGCCCCAAGGCATGTCGTGCGGCTTTCCACATGCGGCTGCTAGCGTGCCCTTTGGCCCACCAGCGGGCCCATACTCGCACCGACCGTGCCACGCCTAACGACGACGACTACTACGACTCTCGACCAAGATCGACCGTCGACGCTAAGCATCGCTCTTCACCGGATGTCTTTGCTTATGTCAAGTCTCCGCTCCATTATGACTTGCCGGGCTACGCAGCCTCGAAGGTTAGCTCCGTACCCCTTCTTACTTAAGTTTAATTATCTTTCGAAGAGTTTTCTCAGCTCATTTCTACTGCCATCTGGAGAATGTAGATAGGATAGGACGGGTTATAGGATCGTGACTTTTGACGCTGTGTCAGACTCATCACCATTCGTAAGCTCCAACCTTAGGCTACTTCACAATGACCGTTCCGCCGTCTTTCTGGACGTGGACCAAGAGGGTCTCACACTTACCATCGTCGAGTGTTTCCCCGGGTTGTCCTAGATTGATAGTGCATATTGGTACGCTTGCCTGTACTTAGGTTAGGTGGTCAGACCTAGAGTCTAGGGTCCATACATTCTTATCGGATCGGTCTGACTGCCCCATCTTGAGTCTTGAGTTTCATTGATCAGGTACAAGGGTTCTCGCCCCATCCTACATTAAATTGGTATCAGAGCAAGGTTGGGTTACCACCTAACCTCGATCCCCTGAAGATGCTCATTGAGCTTCCATATCACTAGTAGACCATTCATATAGGATGACATTGGCATCTAGGCACCAATAAGACTGCACCACCGACCGCACCGCTTGTTACACAAGCATATCAGGAGCATCGCGAGCCTTGCCGGCCCGTGAGCCTCTATAGTGATCCGTATGATCACCAGTACCTCGATCACGATCATCGTCAAAGGAATCTTTGTCGTCACGACGCACCATGTCACGACGATGACCACGATTGATTGACTGGTCGTTGGCCACAAGATACTTATGATCGCCGTGAGCTAGTCTACCCTTCTCATAGGGACGATCTCTCACGTCCGCCACTACCACCACCTCGACCCCACTACAAGGACTATCAACCCCACAGACGCGACCAGGGACATGACAGGAGAGACCTTTGGGGTTACAGAGCTGACCCTTCCCGATGAGAGGAGCTCAATCGATGAGCAGAGCATCAGCCACTAGATCGCAATAATTCCTACCGTGATTACCAGTGTGCTCCGGACTTTCACCGAGCACCCCAGGACACCCACCAGGATCGTTACTACAATCAAGGGCGTTACTCGAGTCCTCCCGCCATGACTTTGGTGGTGACCATAGGGCCAATTGATTGGATGATTGGGACAAGTGACGTGAGGATCACAGGACGCCGATGTGACAGTCTTTGATGGCTCCCGTGAGCCCAAGGACTTCATAGATTGGGAGTCTAGTATGAACTCCTCTGTCTGGTGGTACCGCATGGATGATGATTTATGCGTGGAGTATGCGGAGATGAGACTTGGCGGACAGGCCAAGATCTTTTTAGAAAACGAGAGCTACACAGCACACCGACGAGGGCAGTCCATCACATCATGGGTTGATATAACATCACACTTGAGGAACAAGTATGTTCATCGACAGTACGAGTCGATGCTGTTCCTCAGTTGGTTAGACCTCTGACAGGGCAAGATGCTCGTCCGAGACTATATTCAGGCTTTTGAGGAGTGCTGCATGAGGTGTCGCTTTGTCGAGGACTCACGTGTGGTTTTGGGCATTTTCACCCATGGACTTAGTCCGCGGCTTCAGAATGAGGTGCTAAAAGGCAACTCGTCTGAAGTAGATGAGGCCTATTGCATAGTAGAACATATGGAGCGACCCGTCGAGGATACACAGTTCACCCCACCTCCAATCACCACGAAGATCACGTCCACACGATCTGCACAGACATCGACGATAGCACCGACGTGTACTAGCGTAGGGAATAGACGGACAACACCGGCGACATCAGTAGGGTCTGCACCACACCTGTGTTCGCCACCAGCCGACACATCCGACCATGCTACGGCCGCGTCCCAAGCCCATATCACTTGTTTCAAGTGTAAGGGTAAGGGGCACTAGATGAGCCAATATCCATCTTCGAATCTCCTCATGGAGATTGAAGAATTGGGTAGCAGTTCACACGAGGATGACGTCCCCGTAGGTGATGATGTCTACATTACTGACGAGGGTTTGGGCGAGGAGTGTGATAACACTCCTGATTTGATTGACTACATCCAGCTCCGGCCAGCCACCATACCATCAACCGAGGCTGCCTCTCTCGTTGCCTCATCGACGAGCACTTCATTGAGGGAACTGGCCAGCATCGCTGTCCAGCGTCCACAGCATGACACCAAGGCAACTAGAGAGATCACCCCGGCATTGAGGACGACTATGCCCACATCTTTGCCTACGACAGACGATTCCCTTCGCACGTTGATCTTCTACATCTATGTGAAGATCAACGGACACGCGTGCAAGGTGATCGTGGACAGCGGTAGTTGCGTCAATGCCATGTCAGACCAGGTCTTGTAGAGGGCAGGGATGAGTACTATCAGCCATCCAGCCCCTTACGGTGTATCGTAGATAGACGCCACCACACTACCCATTCGTCGACAGTGTCAGGTGCCACTTAGGGTGAGCACCTATGATGAGCACATCTTGTGTGATGTCCTTCCGATGAAAATCGGCGGCATCATACTTAGATGGCCCTGGTTGTTTGACTATGACATCCAACTCATGGGAAGAGCAAACACTTGCTCTTTCATGTATCGAGATCGCTGACTTGTTTAGTATCTGCATACCAACAAGCCCGTGCCGAAGCATGACCCTAAGTCATGTATTTGGTTAATCATGATGAAGGGACCTGCCTTTCAGCACGAGATCATGTCGGACATAGATGAATCTCCAATGTGCTTTGCTCTCACTTTGGATACGCGAGATGACACAACCCTTACCCCACCTTCTCTAGAAGTCGAGGGTATATTATCAAAGTACGCCGATGTAATCTTAAAGGAGCTTCCCAGAGAGCTGCCTCCATTTAGGCACATTCAACATGCTATCGACTTGGTCCTCGGAGCATCATTCCTGAACTTGCTACACTATCACATGGAGCCAGCCAAGTACGAGGAGCTTAGCCGACAAGTACATGAGCTTTTGGACAAGGGACTCATCTAGTTGAGCCTTAGTCCCTATGCCATGCCTGCATTACTAGCACCGAAGAAGGATGGCACTTGGCGCATGTACTGCGATAGTCGTGCAATCAATAGGATAACGGTTAAATATCATTTTCCGATCCCACGATTACAGGACTTATTTGACATGATGATAGGAGCCATTGTCCTTTCAAAGATAGATCTACGTAGTGGTTATCATCAGGTCAAGATACATTCAAGGGATGAGTGGAAGACCGCCTTTAAGATCAAGGAGGGCCTGTATGAGTGGAGGGTCATGCCATTTGGCCTCTCCAATGTGCCCAGTACGTTCTAGAGGCTAATGAATGAGATTTTATGCCCATTTATTGGCCAGTTCGTCGTAGTATACTTCGAGGACATCTTGGTCTACAATGGTACTCGAGACTCCCACCTCCAGTACTTACAACAGGTGTTTGAGGTACTTCGACAGGAGAAGCTTTATGCCCATCCTAAGAAGTGTAGTTTCCTCACTTCTGAGGTTACGTTCCTCAGTTTTGTCATCTCCGAGCAAGGAGTTTCTGAGGACCCCGAAAAGGTCTACGCGATAGTCACTTGGCCACAGCCAGGCAGCATGCATGACATCCATAGCTTCATTGGACTAGCGACGTTCAACCGTTGCTTCATTCGGGACTTTAGTTCCATTACCTCTCCGCTTACTGATTGCCTCAAGAAAGAGACCTTCCTTTGGATAGAGCAGCTAAATAGGCCTTCAATCGGGTGAAGGCTCTTATCACTCAAGCATCGATACTTCGCCTACCCGACTTTGGCAAGGTATTTAAGGTCGCCTGTGACGCCTCAAGCGTCGATATTGGGGGTGTCCTTAGCTAGGAAGGCCATCCCATAGAGTACTTCAACGAGAAGCTGAATGATGTGAGGCTTAGATACTCCACTTACGATCGTGAGTTCTATGCCGTCATTCAGGCTTTCAAACACTAGCGCCATTACCTCCTTTATAAGGAGTTTGTGCTCTTCTCGGACCATGAGGCCTTGAAGTATCTGCACTCTCTGTAGAAGTTGAGCGATCGACACGCACGATGGGTTAAGTACTTGTAGGACTTCATGATAAGTCTTCATTATCATGAGTTAATAATTAGTAAATAATATAGTTTTAGCCTTAACTCGTGATAAATAGACTTATATTTATGTTAAAGTGTGAAGTGGTTTTCAGTTGATTAATGTGATTTTTTGGGTAATTATGTGATTTTATACGAATTTATATGATTTTTACAGTCTTACTTTTGAGATAAATGAAGAAAAAGATATAAAATTAAAATATTACAAAATGTGGGGGGACCCACCGGCCAGCCGGGCCCGCAAGCAGGTCGGAAGCTCAGTCGGGGAGTAGCCGCTCGAGCCGCTCGCGGCTACTCCCGGCTTGGACCGATAGGGCCACGTGTGCGCCACTCCCCTTCCACGTCACCGGTGGCCAGCCGACTGTGGGGCAAGGAGTGGTCATACACGCGAGAGAAGGAACTTTACTTAGAAACGTAACATTACTATATATTCGCCCGAAAAATCGGCGTACAACCAATGTGGGACTAAACCCACGTCATACCTTCCTCAGACGGGGTGGACAACCGGCGCGGGTTCGAATCCTCCCAGAGTCAAAATTCATATATTTTTATCTGATTATCGCGACTTTCCTGCAGATCGCCGGTGAAGGATTAAGCAACGAGAATCGCTGGATCATCAGCGAAAATCTCGTCAACGCGATTCGCGGAGCATTGCTACTAAAATTGCTGAACGATTCACGATAAAAGGATCGTGAATCCATCGAGTAAATCATCTCCGATTGATCGACGAACAAGCCGTCGTCGGGAAGAGGACGATCCGCCGGGAGACGAGTCGCCACCTCCTGAGAGCGTACCAGATGCGATGAAGAGCCTCCTCTTGTTGTGCGGACCTGAGGATGAAGCTCCCTAACACGCGCCCCACCTCCATTCAGCTCCTCTCCGTCGGGTGACAGCCGCCGGAGAGCCGCAAAGTCGCCGTTTTTCCGCTCCGCTGGGTGACAGCCGCTGGAGACGACTCAGCGACCCATTTCATTGATCTCTAGACTTCGCGAGAAGATCTAGAGATTGCCCATGTCGTCTTTGTCCAAGGAGAGCCTTCGAGGCCGTGGACACTGCACAACGATCCTCCTGAACGCTCAGGATTCCGGTGCATCGCCGACGCATCGCCGTCGCGATGCTGGAACTCTGTTTTCCTGCTTTCAACTTACTTTACGCTTCATTTAGTGATAGTTTTTGTGATTTTAATTTACCAAAATATACTTTGTTCTATTACGATTCTTCTGGCTTTTACAGATCTTAATTTGATTAATTAAATCGTCTGTAATCGCTTACGTAAGAATCACCGGGCGGAACTCTGTTTCCGCCCGATTCACGTTCGCTGGGTGCTGATGTCATCCTGATGCCCGCACCCTTATTTCCCTTTTTCGTGAATTTTAAATATATTTCCTTTTTATTTCCTAGTATAAAATTCATAGAAAATCGTATTCATTGAGAAAAATTCTGAATAATTACCAGATATTATATTACATCCCTGTGATCGACCTGGAAAATTACCGCTATTTTTGGAATTTTTATTGAATTATAATTGATATATTTATTTAGAAATACTTCTAAATATCCGAAAATTCGTATTTTCTAGTTTTATAAATTTTATATTTGCGTGATTTAATATACAACGACTGAGTCACGTCACTTCACCTTCGTTCTTTGCCACAAGAAGGGGAAGGAGAACATGATGGCAGACACCCTCAGCCGACGAGTCCACTTGCTGAACCTCGTGAAGGTTCAGGTGACAGGATTTGAGTCCCTATTGGATTTTTACACAGATTGCCCAGACTTCGGCCACGTTCTACGAGCACTCTCGGATGGTCCATCCCGAGATCATAAAGACTTCCTTGTGGTCAATAGATGTCTATTCTTAGGAGCAGACTATGCGTTCCACGCACATCCCTCCGTGACTTCCTCACTTGGGAAGGTCACGCAGGAGGTCTATCTGGCCATTTCGGTTGCGATAAGACCATCACAGTGGTCGAGTACTAGTTCTACTGACCGACCCTCAAGCGCAATGTAGAGAACATTGTCGCTCAGTGTCGAGTGTGCGCACTCGCCAAGCAGGTAAAGAAGAATGTTGGACTCTACACGCCACTTCCAATGCCGACCCACCCATGGGACGACGTTAGCATGGACTTTGTTTTGGGACTCCCGCACACTACACGACGACACGACTCGATTATAGTGGTTGTCGATAGGTTTTCAAAGATGGCACAGTTCGTGCCATGTTCGAAAACCTTTGACGCCTCTAAGGTCGCTAGCCTCTACTTTAGAGAAATTGTGCGCCTTCATGAACTACCCAAGTCCATAGTCTCAGACCGTGACATACAGTTTACCAGCCACTTCTGAAGGACTCTTTGGAGCTTACTTGAGACTAAGCTCAAGTTCTCCATTGCTTACCATCCACAAACTGACGACCAAACCGAGGTCATCAATTGTAGCTTAGGGAATCTACTTCGATCATTAGTCGGCAAGAGCTTGACTACTTGGGATCTGATCATACCACGCGCTGAGTTTGCTTATAACTCCTCAACCAACCGTACCACTGGTATGAGCCCCTTCGAGATCGCACACAGTTTAACACCCCACAAGCCCCTAGATCTAGTACCCCTAGACCCTCATGTTAGAGTTTCCGAGGATGGTGTTGCATTTGCCCAATATGTTAGTCAGTTGCATCAGAACATCCACGATAGGATACAGAGTTAGAATGTATTGTACAAGCAAGCTGCCGATATGCATCGTCAACCCCGGATCTTCTAAGTGGGAGACCAGGTTATGGTGAGGATGAGGCCCGAGCATTAGGCTCCTGAATCTGCTACGAAGCTTCACGCTCGTAGCGTTGACCCATTTCATGTTCTTTCCTGGATAAGTGAGAACGCCTATGTTGTCAACATCCCTCTTTCGTGGGGGATTAATTCCATATTCAACGCAAATTTAAAGTTTATAAAACTAAAAAATACTAATTTTTTGATATTTAGAAGTATTTTTGAACAAATATATCAATTATAATTTCATTAAAGTTCGAAAAATAGTGAAAAAAATTTAAGTCAATAACAGGGATGTAATATAATATTGTGTAATTTTTTAGAATTGTTCTCAAAGAATACGATTTGTTATGAATTTTAGATAAGAAATATAAATGAAATATATTTAAAATTCACGAAAAAGGAAAATAAGGGTATGGACATCAGGATGATGTTAGTGTCCGATGAACGCGAATCAAGCGGAAATAAAATTTCATCTGACAATTCTTACGTAAGTGATTAAAAATGATTTAATTGATCAAATTAAGATTTGTAAAGGTCAAAAGAATCATAATTTAATGAAGAATAGTTTGGTAAATTTAAATCATACAAATTATCACTAAATGAAGTGAAATTTAATTGAAAGTAGGAAAATACATCAACAATACACCAAAATCTTGAGCGTTTGGAGGATTGTCGTGTAGTGTCTATGGCCTCAGAGGCTCTCCTTGGACAATGACGATGTGAGTAATCTCTAAATCTTCTTGCGAAGACTAGATATCGATGAAATGGGTCGTCAAATTGTCTTTGGTGGCTATCACCCAACGGAGCGGAAGAACAGTGACTTTGCATCTCTTCGGCGGGTGTCACTTGACGAAGAAGAGCTAGATGGAGGTGGGGCGTGTGTTAGGGAGCTTCATCCTTAGGTTCGTGCAGCAAGAGTAAGCTCTTCATCACATTTGGTACACTCTTAGGAGGTGACGACTTGTCTCCTGGTGGTCGTCCTCTTCCTGACGATAACTTGTTCATCAATCAATCAAAGATACTTTACTTGATGGATTCGTGATCCTTTCATCGCGAATCGTCCAACAATTTTTGTAACAATATTCTACGAATTACGTTGACTAAATTTTCACTAATGATGGAGCCAATCTAGCAACTTAATCCTTCACCGGCAATTTGTAGAAAAGTCACGATTTAATCAAATAAACATACGAGTTTTTGGCTTTGGTAGGATTCGAACCCACATGAGTTGCTCGCATGTAAGAGAGAGTTTGAAATAAACACTCTAATGTCCTTATAAAATGACGTCATTATGATATATCTCTATTATAATTTAGTATTTTAGGTATTAAAATAAATAAAGTCATTCTAGATCTAGGTTTAGTCCCACATCAATTGTACGTCGATGTTTTAGATGAATATATAGTAATATCACATTTTCAAGTAATGAGTCCCTTTATCCCACATGTATGACCACTCCTTGTCTCACAACCGATTGGCCACCAGTGACGTGGAAGAGGAGTGGCGCACATGTGCCCTCATTGGTTCATAGCCGCTTAAGCCCCTTATCATGGCTCCCCTTGACTGTGCTTCTGACTTGCTTGCGGGCCTAGTTAGTCGACAAGTCTCCCCTTTTTTCTATTTTTTTTATTTTTTTTCTTTATTTATCTCAAAAATAGAACTAGAAAAATCATATAAATTCGTATAAAATCACATAATTAGCTAATAATTCACATTAATTAACTAAAAACTATTTTTCATAATTTAACATAAATATAAGTCTATTTATCATGAGTTAAAGATAAAAATAATGAAGACTTGTCACATCTTTCAACTTAAATTATTGTTAGTCTCTTAGCAATAGAATTACGAGAATAAAAATTCACAAATCTCAAAATATTATATTTTAATATATAAAAAATAGAAATGATGCACCTTTAGACACTTTAGATTATTATATTAAGTATTTAAGAATGATCTCAAATGTTTAAGCACTTTTTGGAATAATAATTTAGACTTCACTTTTTTTATTCATATCTTCATCACTTCTTCACTCATAGATATAACTCACAAGATGTTCTAATTATTAATACTCATCCAAGAATAATATTAATCCTACATTTTCATTTTTCTATGACTTGATTTTTTAAGTTTATATTATTATTATTTTATATAACGGATAAGTAGTTTTTCCTGTAGATAAATTTTGACAACAAGAATGATTTCTGACACCCTCTATGTGTACTCTTCATTTTCAAGGCTTTCACTTTATCCACTTATTTTGTAACATGTGTTTTTCTATAGATGATTTTTTACAATGACAATGATGTCTCACACTCTTCATATGTACTCTTCACATGAAGAGTACACATGAATCAAAAATATTCATTTTTTATATGATTCTATTTTATTTTATTTTTGAAAATAAGTGATTTATCCTCACAAGTTAATTAAGGCGTAAAAATATTCATTAAACTCAAATGATCAATTAAATTTTCACATCAAGTAAATACTATCCATTAAGATCATGAAGTGAAAATCTGTAAAATCAAATCCATATTATTTATTATGTATCCAAGTAGTATTCCAACATTTCATGCTACGAAATCATTCTTTTAACTCAACAATAATCTTCCTAGTATCTTTTGGTATCAATCAATCTAATTGATTTAAGTTTCGTACATACAATATGATGTAAGAAAGTTGTAAGTTAGATAGTTTTGATAGTTTTATTTTCTATTTTCAGTTATGTTTTCAGCAACAATGAATTTATCAAAAATAAGTTAAAACTATTCTCTTTATTATTGTAATTTCGAATTTCAGCAATGTATGTCTAGGGAATTAAAATATGAGAAAAGGGTCTCTAGAATTTCAAATTTTGAGCTGTTTTTTCTCTATTATTTTTGATAGTTTGTAAATTATTTTATGTTGTTTCTAACAAAAAACCCAAAAAACAAATGTTATAAGTTTTTTGAATTTTTTAGTTACTTTTCTAAGTGAGCATGAAAATAAATGCAAACACAAATTCTTACTCTTCCTACAACATAAATTATGATTTAATAATTGACCCCCAACCTAAAAATGACATTGTCCTCAATGACATAGAGAAATCGGAATAGAATATATATAAAATATCATTTTCAAGTGAAGCAAACATATATGCAAAGTTAAACACTAAGAATGTTGTCATAAAGGATAAAACTCAAAAAGACATCACCTCAACTTTGTTTTTAATTTTCCACTTCATTTTACACTCTTCACCCTACACTTTTTCAAAATAAATAAATAAATGCAGAAAGAAGTACTGTGAAATTCTAAGAAAAATAGAAAAAAAATAAACAAAATGAAATAAAAATCATGAGTTACCTCTCATGTAGTGCTGAATTAAATGTCTTCAGCTGGACACATTAATCTTACTCTTGAATTTCTTTTAATAATAAAATTTCTTTTTCTACAAAGCGTTCATGTTCTATGTACTATTTAAGTCGCTATTTATTTACTTTAAAGTTATTATCACTTTTAGGATCTTTAATTATTGTAGCCCCATGATCATGTCCCTTATACCACATAAGCCTTGTCTATTTTGATTTTAATTTTTCTAGGGATAATTTCAGCCTAGAATCATATAACCACACTTTTTGTCCAACATCAATTTTTTTCTACTAATATATTTATCATGAAAATTTTAATTTTTTCTGTATATATTCTATGATTTTCATAAGTTTTATTCCTCAACTCCTCTAGTTTATGTAGTTGAGAAATTCTATGCCCACTAATTAATTTTTCATCCATACATAAATTTTTTGTAGCCCATAATGCTTTATGCTCTATTTCCACAAGAAGATGACATAGCTTTCTAAAAATGAGATGAAATGGAGACATACTTATGTGATTTTTTAAGTTTTTCTATAAGCTCATAATGCATCTTGTAATTTCATGGGCCAAATTTTTCTATTTGGTCTAATTATTTTTCTCAAAATTCTTTGAATTTCTCTATTTGCTACTTCAATTTGCCTATTTATTTGGGGATGATATGGATTGACTATTCTATGATGTACTTCATTCTTTTCCAATAGTTCTCTAAAATAGTTATTTGTAAAATATGCTCTTCTATTACTAATAATCACTCTAGGACACCCAAATCTCGAAAAAATATTTTCCTACACAAATTTCATCACGATTTTATGATTATTAATTTTAGTAGGAATAGCTTCTACCCACTTAGACACATAATCAATAGCAAGAAAAATATATTCATATTTTTCAACTGATGGAAAGGGACCCATAAAATCAATTCTCCACACATCAAAAATTTTACCTACTAACATGTTACTCATAAGCATTTCATCTTTTTTACTCATGTTACTTATAGATTAGCCTGAAATATATGTTCTACTAAATTCTATAGAATCTCTAATGATTGTAGGCTAATAAAAACCATACTAAAAAACAATTATAGTTATTTTTCATCTAGAGAAATGTCCTCCACAATTAGATGAATGGCACATGTTAAGAATATGATATTCTTCTTCACAAACACATTTTCTTAAAATTTGATCATTGCCCAAGTAATATAAATCAGAATCATGCCAAAAATAATTTCTAATCTTAGAAAAGAAATTATTTTTTCTATTCTTATCCCACTGTTCTGTAATTTTTTCAAAAATCAGAAAATTAATAATATGTACATACCATGGTGATGGTTGATGTTGATTTGTCATCAATTATTCATCTAGAAATACATCTTGTAGATGTGTTGCATTTATTCCTATATCACTCAATCTACAAAGATGGTACAACATTCTCGAAACATTTTTTATCTTTTATTTCTAAATCAAATTCCTGTAAAAATAAAATTCATCTTAATAAACATGGCTTTGCATCTTTCTTATTTAATAAATATTTTAATATTACATGATCAGTATAAATAATAATTTTAGCTCCTAAAATATATAATCTAAACCTTTCTAATGAAAATACTATAGTTAGCAACTCTTTTTCAGTTTTGGTATA